AAAAAGACGGGGAGAGACGGGGAGAGACGAGGAGAGACAGGGAGAGACGAGGAGAGACAAGAAGAGACGAGGAGAGACGGGAAGAGACGAGAGTTAGTGGAGGTGGATCACGTTTACGCGGTCGGACTCTTTTATTACGGTTGCCGCGATTCGCGTACCTTTCATCGATCCGGCCACTGTTCGAGTGTTTGCCGTGCCCTCGAGTCGGCCGCCATCCGTTTTACTATTTGGATATTGCTGTCGTTGTCCTATTCGGATGACGGTCCATCCGGTTGCCGGCCACCTTTTTCCAGCCTGGATATATATATATATATAAGCAACGCTTGGCGAAAAACCGCGCGCGAAAGCGTTTCGAGCCGACGGAATAAAAAGGAGGCGAAAGGGTGGAAGATGCGACTCGATGAGAAGAGAAAGAGAACGGCGGTGACGATGGGCGCCCAACTTCGTTTTTTAAGTAATCGTCGACCTTTTCGAGAGGTTCTCTCCTCCTCCTCATCGAGAAACGAAAAAGCGAGGCCCCGTTTCCCTGCCACCCATTTCTCTCGAGTCTCGATTAAGCGATTAAACGAACCCCCTCCGGGCTGCCGCCGTATTTAATTTACCGCGATTCTCCGCTTACTACTCTGCAATTTCATCCATTCTTTGTCCCCCCCTCTCCCGTCCCGATCGCGCCACCTGTCCTCTCTACCTTTATCTTTATCCCTCCACCCCCTCCTCCCCGCCCCTATTCCCTCTCATTGTTCCACCGAGAGTCGCATCCTCGACCTCTGGCGGAGAATCGAATACCCGATCGAATCGATTACCCGAATTCGAAAGAAATTTCGACCTCGTCTCGTCTCGACTCGATTCGCACGTCGGTGTTGGAGCGTCGAATCGAGCGGAGGAGGAGGAGAAAGAGAGGAGCATCCGCCAAACGAGAGGAACCACCGAGACGACGGAGCATCGACGTTTATCGGTGGCTGGTAACGGTCTCTCGATTCGGTGACACTTGACAGCTCGTTAGCTCCTTCTCCCCGGGACAGGAGAAATCGTGGTCATGCTCGTCTGCTCCTCATCTGTCGTGCCTGTACACGATACACCAATTTTCCGCGTGAATCTGTCTCCACCACGAAATTTACTTCGATGTTGATAGCATTATCGCCCCCTTTCTCCTTCTCTCGTGTCTCGTGTCTCCCGTGCCCGAGATACGCTCTGGCCACTCGCCAAAATTAATTCCCACTACGGGGATCGGGACGACGAACCGTTCCCGACCGGTTTTTTCCCCATTCCCGTTCGCGACACCGATATTTAAAAAAAAAAACGCCATTTTTCGTCGCCGTTTCGTGGCAAAAATCACTTTTCCTCTGTACTCGTAAAAAAACTCGGAAAAAAAGAAAAAAGAAAAAAAGAAACATTCGCGACAATTTCTATTACAGATCGATATCCATCTCTGTCCGTTTTTTTTCAGACGGGACGTACTTTTGTCCTGATAGCGATAGGAAAAAGTAAAAGCTGAAGAAAAAAGGAAGATAAGGAGGAGGCTGGACAGTGATTTCGTCCATCTCGATAGACGGAGGAGAAAACGGCAGGTGTTCGTTGCGGAGCAGCTGCAATCACGACCACCATCTGCCGCAGTAATGCACGCCTCTTCCAAGTCTTCCAGTCTTGAAGAAGCGAGACTCGTTGCCCGAGGCATTCATCCTCAATTAGACGCCACCTGAAACACGTGCCCCTCTCGAATCCATGGATTTCGATGGCTTCTTTCTCGTCCACTCCTTATCTCCTTCTTTTTCTCTTTTTTTCCTCTTCTTCTTGCTCGTTTTACTACTACTACTTCTTTATTCCGGTTCTCCTCTTCCTCTATCTCTCCGCGTTTCAGGGCTTCTTCCTTTTTTCCATGCCACGCGTCATTATCCTTTGCTTCCTCGTACCGGTGGCCAAGTCATCGATCACCGATCACCGTTTTTCGCCGCGACGACAGTTGGCAAGCACGAGGCTTCGCGTAAGCGTAAAAACATCCTCGACACGTGCTATCGTTGAAAATCGTTGAATCCGAATAAGAGAACCTGCATATCGCGTTACAACTCGATGCTTCCTTCGTCTAGAAGTTTCGAAATAAAATCGTTAATTTTTTTGCCGTCGACGACGTTTCTATTCGTCTTATTATTACGAACCGTGGTTGAAAGAAAGAATTGCACGAACCGTCGTTTAAACTTCAATCGATAAATATTATCGTATTATAATTTACAACAACGTCGATTCGATTCGATCGCAATTCGAACGCAGTTCTCTACCTTACCGAGCTCGTCGAAAATAACTCGGTGAACGTATACGCGTGGCGACCTCTATTACGACGAGTGTGAATCACTATCGTTAATCTCTTTTTTTTTTTTATCTCTTACGCGATAACTGTACCGTCAACGAAGTAAAGTTGTTTAATAAGGAATTGCTTATTTGCATAGATTACAGATTATTTTAATAACGATAAGATAAAATTGAACAAAAGTTAAAAAAAAAAAAATAGTTATTTTAATTTTTTTATGCAAAAATATTTTAATTCGGATTCGCCGGAATAATTCCCTTACGTTCCATCTCTTGCCTCAATATATGCTTTTGTATTTTCCCGCTCGACGTTTTCGGATAATCCGTTACGAATTCCACGTAACGCGGTATTTTAAAAGGCGCTATATATCTTTTGCAATATTCCTTCAACTCTTCCTTCCCAAGTTTCGCGCCGTCTCGAACGCGCACGCATGCGCACAACTCCTCGCCGTAAATTTTGTCGTAAGCGGCAATAACTTGCACCTCGGCCACCAGGGGATGCATCATTATTACATCCTCGATCTCCTAAATCCACGAAATTACAAAATTTTGAAAAATCAGGTCAAGTCTTTCAAACAAAAACCAAATCATCGAAAAGTCTCTTTTTACCTTTGGGAAAATGTTCTCTCCTCCCCGAATCACCATCTCTTTCAATCGTCCGACTATATGACCATAACCATCCGATCTTAAAACAAATTGATCACCGGTCTTGAACCAGCCATCTTTGGTAACGCTTTTCCTAGTCGCCTCTTCGTCGTTATAGTATTCGATCATGTTCATGTATCCTCGGGTCCAGAGTTCTCCGGGAGTGCCGAAAGGCACCGCTTTCCCATTCTCGTCCACGACCTTTTCAAAGAGAGACAGAAAGAGAGGGCGAAATATTTTAAGCACGACGAATTCACGCACGATGCGATATATATATATATATATTTCCATTTACCATGGCTTCGATGTGATCGCCCAAACGGCCAACGGTATTATCTGTCAATTCATTCTTCTCGTTGGGCATCGAGTGAAAGATAACCCCTGACACCTCCGTCAGTCCATATATGCTCTATCGAACACAACGAATGAAATAGATAATTCGTAAATTGAAACGTGTTGGAGAATAAGAGTGACAGTTGGATGGAGGCGCACCAGAGAGAACGCGATTTCACGAATGAGAACGTTATTGATCGGGGCCAAGAAACGATATTTCTCCGCGTTGAATCGTATTTATGCATACGAAGCGAGGAGAGCCGGCCGTGCGAGATATGTGCATAGATAACAACGCGTTGCGCCGAGCCGAATTAAGTACGAGGCTGTCGTCGTGTCGACGACCTTCGTCCATTCCGTGAAAATTCCCCTCCCCTCCCCTCCGCGAGCATCCTTTTCTCATTCCAAATAGCAATACTTGCGAAACATGTTTTCATCAACCGGGTGAAGAACGAGAAAGCTGGGATCGATCCTTTTTTTTTTTTTTACCTTCATGTTGTCGAAGTTGAAATTTTTCCTTATTTTTTTAAAAAGCTCCGGCGACATTATAGCGCCACCTGTTATGCCGCAGGCCAAAGTTATCGGCGGGGGTCGAACGCGCTCGTACACGTCCAACAGAGTGATCTAAAGAAAAAATGTATGATCGAACGATTAAATTGCATATTATTCACTCGCCCTTCGAATTTCAACACGGCGTTTATCGAGACGTTACTTTACCCACATAGTCGGTGTCCCGTAAACGATATCGCACTTCTCCCCTATTATCGCGTCCAACGATTTCTCAGGATTGAAGGAGCGGGACTGGAGCACGATCGTGATTCCGGAATGAAACATGCTCAACAAACCTTTGATCAGGCCGTACACGTGGAAGAATGGAACGTTCAGGCAAACCTTCTGCCCGATCTTAAATTCTGCCCTCGATACGCTCTATATATATACATATTTATAAAACAACGTGTCTTGTGTACATCAGTATATCGACACACACACACACACACACACACACACACACACACACACACACACACACACACACACACACACACACACACACACACACACACACACACACACACACTACACGTA